CAATCAGGAGCTCCTCAGTTGCTCATTCCACCACTGAGTTTACAATGACTTATGGGTAGAAAAGCCATACTAAGTAATTTACTACACTGCACTCCCACTCTATCCAGGATCTCCAGGTTTGATCCCTTTTCAAGTAGTTAGCATTGCTAGCCAGGCACCATCTAGTTCTTCTGGTCTTGGGGTCCATCATATCCTTGGACTAATTTTTTCCAGATGCCTTTGATTTTCTTCACTCTTCTTTGCTTCAGATGAGAGGAGACCAATAGTTGCATCTTAGATAGCCCCTTGAAAGCTTTTAAGACCCCAGTCGCTACTCACCAAAGTAGGCTGTGGAACAAGATTTTTATGTACTATGTTGTGCCAACTGAGCTTTGTGTGCCCTGACTCTATGGTCCCAAGTCAGCAGGCCTGATGATTCTCTCTCTCAAGGTGTTTGGTTGTCTCTGAGAGGTTACCCCAGCTCTGTCTTCTGTTGATTCTGTAATGTGTGTGGCTAGTTCTGTAGTACAAGTACATATGTAAGATTATATTCAGCTAAATCTATTCTTGGTCTAGGGTACATTTCTGTTTGCTGACCCCCACCTAATCTTCTCACTTGTCTATGCATTTATCTGTAGCACAGTGTTTGGTGTTAGTGGTAATGTAGTATTGTGCATATACTATTATTTGCCTCTGTTGTCTATATCTTATGTACATGTTTCAGTGTCCTTCCTTTCCCCAATGTCATCATGCTGGTCAAGGACTCTTTCCATACTGTCCCTCCCCTCACCCAAATCAATATGTGACTCCCCCCCAACTAGTTCAAAATATTCTTTCCCTTTCCCTCCTATCTCCGATAACCTACAAAGTGAGTTTCCTTCCCTAAGGAAATCTTTCCTTCCCTAAGTAAACCTTTCCTAGAGTTTTTACAATAAAGGGCACATAAAATATTTGTCCTGTGATTGATGAGAAATGATTCTTGTATTCTTCATTATTTATTTATTTTTTTAAATTGTGATTTGGGTTAAAATATACAGAGCAAATTCACTTTCCATACAGCAGTTCACATACACTTTGTCTCATGACATTGACTACAATTTACCACAATGCAACACCTCCCCTCCTACTTCGCCTGATAGTTACCTCCTCCCTGTGTCCATCTCTCCATGTACTCCTGCCCCCTGAGCTGTCTCCCTGTGCATAAACAGCCCTTCTTTCTCTCATGATTGTTCTCTCAAGTAGTTCAACTCATGCCTGCTTTTGTTTGGCTGGAAGCCACAGGTGTGGGTCCAATTCCAGACCTGAAGGGCAGCTAGGGGT